TTTCCGAGCTTAAGTTTGGTCCGATTGGCCCGATTATCACGGGACCGTCAAATTTTTGCGCCATCACTATGCTATCCCTTATATACTGCATTTATTACGATACTTTACCTTTACCTTGTTGGTGTATTAAAATTATGTATTACGTAACACATACTACTTATAAGTACAGTGGTTATATTTCTGACATGTACAGTACATACTTTTTGACTAAGGTTAGCATTTACAAAAAATCATGACCAACATACCAGAAGAATGGCTTGAAAAAGCTGTTACTGATGGGCATATTAATCATCTAGCATATAACAAATTTTCAGATCCTATTTGATCGGCAGTGGAGGTTTTGGAACGGTTTTTAAATACGAGTGGAGAGAATGTGAATTAACTGTTGCATTTAAATGTCTTAAAGTCGACACGAGTATAGATGAAAAAACCGTCAAAGATTTTATTATTGAGGTATTTGTTACATTAATATTTGTAATGTTTCCTGGTATAATTTTAAATTTCTATAATTATAATTAAAGCTTAAGCTAATGCGAAGAGTTGATTACCATCCAAATATTATTAAATTCTATGGAGTCACGAAAGGTATATACAGTACTGTATATACAGTAGATTATTATTGCTAAATATAAATTTTATTTAATATTATTAATTATAACTAAATAGACAACAACGGAAATTATAATATGGTTTTGCGATATGCTGATGGTGGAAATTTACGAGAATATCTAAAAGCAAATTTACAACATTGCAATGGAAAGATAAATTACGAATTTCTAAGGATATAGCGCATGGTCTTTTGTTCTTACATAGCAATAATATTATTCATAGAGATCTTGTAAGTATATTATTTTCATTATATATCTTTTAATTCCAGTACAATAAATTGTGATCTAATATATTTCATAGCACTCGAAGAATATCTTAATTGATCGAGAACAACCAAAGATTGCAGATTTTGGATTATCAAAACAGATGAATGAGATAACAATGAGTTCAAACTCGATAATAAAGGGGATGCCTGCATATATGGAGCCTAAATGCCTTAAAGATCATAGATAAAAAATCTGACGTATATTGCCTCGGAGTAATTCTCTGGGAAATTTCAAGTGGAAGACCACCATTCCAAAATTTTGAATCGAAAATGGCTCTCTGTTTTCATATATTTCAAGGAAATAGGGAAACACCTATTAAAGGTACACCATCCCAATATATTGAACTTTACAAACAATGTTGGGATAACGATCCTGCCAACCGTCCAGAAATAAGATTAATTCTCAATAGTTTAAAACAACTTATTCCTAACGAAAATTTGAGTCAGCACCATCTTGTAGAAACATTATCTCAAAATAGTGAAATTTCCTCAAACCGCCAAGAAAATATATATGCATTCGTAAATTCACTTGAAATTACGACATCATCTCCACTTTATTTACCCGATACAATAAATTCAAATGTTCTATAACAAGAAAATTCTATTCCTAACGAAATTTTGAGTCAACACCATCTTGTTGAAACATCATCTCAAAGTGTCTATTTTACTGGAAGTTATTCCTTGTTTGTTTCTGGTCTATTTATGGTACAGTATGTGTTTATGAATTTGCCTCATTTTTAGTGCCCGCTGATACCATTGTGCCAAGATGTCAAGGAAGGGTAAAAAACGAAGATAATCCTGTTTATAATCCTATTCAAAATTTTTCCGGTCAAAATCAAATGTTACCTAACAATCCTACTCAAAACTTTACCGGTCAAAACTAATATTCCTGCTAAAAATTTTATTAGGCAATATCATATACCACTTGATAATCCTACTCAAAACTTTATCAGTCATAACAAAATGCCACCTAACAATCCTGCTTAAAACTTTACCGGTAAAAATCAAATGCCACCTAACAACCCTGCTCAAAACTTTACCGGTAAAAATCAGATTTCACCTAATAATAATAATCCTACTCAAAACTTTACCGGTCAAAATCAAATGCCACCAAATAATCCTACTCAGAACGTTACCGGTCAAAATCAAGTGCCAGTTAATATTTCTGCTAAGAATTTTATTAGACAAAATGCGATGTCACCTAATGATCACCTTCAGTACTTTTTCACTCATTATGCTGGTAAAAATCAAATGCCACCTAATTATCCTACTCAAAACTTTGCCGGTAAAATCAAATGCCGCATAATAATCCTACCCAGAACGTTACCGGTCAAAACCAAATGCCAGCTAATATTCCTGCTAAGAATTCTATTGGATGCCAACTAATAATATTGCTCAGAACTTTGTCACTCGGTCTCCAATTCCTCCAAAGCTTTTAATGCTAACTAATAACTTTGTTGGTAAAAATTATTTGTCGAATGGCTTTGTTCAAAACCAAGCGTTCAGTTTTACTCAACAACGACCGGTTGTTGTTAATAATCTTGGTCAAAATTTATCCAGCAAGCATTTGCTCCCGTTCCTAATGCAATAGTGTCAATTTTACTAGCGGTATGAATGTTTGTGTAGGTGTTTTTTTTTTTAGATTATTCCTTATTTATTTATGAACTAGTTTATAATGTATTTTTACAAATTTGCTTGTCCTTGTCTTTAGTGCCCACTGATACAACAATGCCAAGAGGTCAAGGAAAGATACAATAAAGAATGTTTTGCTATGTGTGGTTATGAATATACTACGGAATGCCATGCCGGCTATTACGCTGGATTTGGTGACGTTGAAGGATTACGTCATCATTTTACATACGGTGCGAAATTTCTTGTTTCACAAGTACAAGGGAATGTCTTGTAATAATTGCTGCAAGATATTGTGGTAGAAAGAAATTGATTGAGATCTTTAAACTTTTGAAAGAATATAACGCAAATTTCAGATGCGTTTCAAATAGCACTGGAGAAACTGCATTACATTATTTATACAAAAACAAATCCTTAACCAAAGATCTTTATGACTCAAATGGATTACAAAAGTTGAAGGAAGCAATAGAGTTTTTAGTAGACAATGGATGTATTATTAATGCTATGGATCATAATAGGCTAACAATATTATCGTATTATTTAAATGAACGCTTCGACCGCAGAGAGAAGACACCAATTATTCTGGTCTTACTAAAAAAGGGAGCAGACCCAAATATCCCATCATATAATGCACCTAATGCATTGTTTTTGGCCGTAAAAATTGGTTGGCCAATCAAAATTCTTAATCGCGGAGCAAGGGGTGACATAAAGGGGATAATCTGTTAGTATTAGCTGCTAGAGAAAGACGACCTATTATAATTGATTGGATATTAGAGACAATCCCTGAAACTAGTACTAGAGACTCTATAGAAGCTGCTATGAAGGTAAGCTCTTAGGTAGAAAAGATAGGAACAAACTTTCGAAATGGAAAGGACCTGAAGAAGAGATCAGACAACGATTAATTCAAGAAAATTTAGAACTTAAGAGGTAGTTAAGAACAGAAAGAGAATCTTCAAAATAAAAAATTACGAATGTACATCTAATTAAAAACCTAATCGAAAATTTGAAAGGTTTAAAGAAATATTACATATAATGATGGGCAACGCGCGGGATACGGATGCTGCTAGTAGACCCTATAAATTTTGATCGATATTCCGCAATATTCTGAAAATAAGAGAGATTTAAAACCAGTGTCTGAAATTGGGTTGCGGAGTCTGCGGACCGCAACAAAATTTTAAATTCCCGCAACCAAAATCTGAAGTGTACATGCAAATTCCGCATATAAATTTGCAAAATTTACCTATAAACTTCGATTAAATGTTCATTTGCGCAACTAAATTTTAGAAATTTTTATAATCCGCAAGTCGTTTTTTTTAATTGGTTGCAGCCCGCAACTAATTTAAAAATTGAATTTCAGACACTGTTTAAAACCCAGTTGATTAATTATTTATCCGCGCGGATTTTTGGGAATTCACGATTAGCCCAAATTAATTACATGTAACCATTTGACATTATAAATGTGTACATTTTTTTTGTATTCTCTGTTTTTCATAAACAGCCTGAACAATTCCTTGGTGCATTTTATGCCTCTATGGGACATTGACATTAGATTTTGCATGTACATATAATACGATTATTTATTACAAGAAAAACAATGAAAACTAGAAGAATACAAATTTTAGAGAAGATCTTTTAACTTTAGAGTAATAAAGGTCTGTTTAGCACTATACTAGTTGCTTCTGTTCTGCTTTAGGCAAATTAAAAAGAATCCTCTGCTTTATAAATATATTTTATTTTTTTTAGGTTACTTTTTTATTTCATTCATTAATTTATTTTTTTTATTTGTTGATAAAATATCAATGTTGACCCTTATCACGAAAAAAACGAAGTTGGTGAGTCTGTTGAGTGCACTATTATTTACTAGATCAAAACTATATGATACCCTAATTGTTTCTATTTTACATAATAAGATGTAATCAAAGGAACTTATAGATGCAATAATATATCATTATACTGTATATACAGCATTACAAAATAAGTATAATAAATAAAATAGATCTTATTTATTGATATTCCTTTTTTAACATGTCAAATACTATAAATTACGGCTAACATGTAAAATACTACTTCTATTACAACATACTATAAATCCAATATTAAGGCACTTACGAGTTATGTTTTTGACATACATCATTCAAATACTAAATTAAAGGTATAGGAATGCAAAAAGATGGCCCTACTCATATTTTGGTCATATTGTTAAAAGCCAAAAAAATTAAAAAATACCTATCAATCGGCGTTCCCAACAGAGAGAATAAAGAAAAAATTAGACATGTTGGAATAAGCCCTTCAAATTGAATATTAGTTAACGTCGTTCTCGGCAATCGAACAAGCCAATAACAATACAGAATAAACTTTGTTAGTCACTTGTTTAAGGTTGACCAATGAGATTTAATCAAATATTCTCAGAATATATGTGTTAGTTAAATTTCATCTTCTCCCCATCGTGCATGAACCTCAAAATATTGACATTAATAAACTTGGAATAACTTAACCATTAAAATAAAAATAATTTGAGATAGGATTTAGTTAATAAAAATTTTATAAAAAAATTTTCATTGCACAAAATAATAAAGATAATATTTATTTATAATAAATATTCGCAGGTAAACTTGAAATCTATAAAAAAAAGCTAAATGAATAATTAAATAAAAAAAATTATCAAAATTTGGTCAGCTTAGTTTATCTGGATCCGGGTATTTAAGAAATTTTAATAAATAAAATCTCAACAAAAGCCTGAAATAAATACTTTTAATTATAATTTTCTATTATAATATAGTAACAATTATATTGCATAAATTTATATACAGTGTATATTTATTTATTCAATAAGCAGTTAGTTATTTGACGTAGATCTTGGGCCCATTTATTATTTGGATTAATTCTTAATGATCTATCTAAATCTGCAAGTGATTCTCTATATTTTCCCATCATGCGATAAGTTATTCCACGAAAACATAACGCATCAGCTTAATTTGGTTCAATTTCTAATGATTTATTTAAATCTACAAGGGATTCCTCATATCTGCGCAGCGAATGATAAGCTTTACCACGCCTGTTTAATGCCCATGCATCATTTGGATTAATACCTAACGATTTATTTAAATCTACAAGTGACTCTTCATATCTACCGATCAGACGATAAGTGTCTCCACGAGTTTTTAATACAAGTGCATTATTTGGTTTAATTATTAATGATTTATTGAAGTCTATAAGTGATTCTTCATATCTGCTCATCATACGATAAGTTTCTCCACGAACACCCAATGCAAATGCATCATCTGGTTTAATTTCCAATGAATTATTTAAATTTACAAGTGATTCCTCATATCTACCCAGCAAGCGATAAACATTACCACGCCTATTTAATGCCCATACATCATTTGGATTAATTTCTAGTGAATTATCGAAAAGCATAGGTACGATTGTTCACGTGATTGGAAGAATGCCGGCACGCTAAAGGTGCCGGAAATAAATTCAATTAAAGGACTTTAAGTCCGCAGAATACATTGTGAGTAATTTGAACTGAGTAATTTGAGCTGAGTAATTTGAACTGAAACGATGATATGCTCCCGGGAAAATTAGCAAGTGAGATTGCGCCCAGGTATCATCGTAACAGTAGAATGAGTGAGAAGCAGCATCAGCCGGTGGTTTCCCGCCTGCTCGAACTGCTCGAAGCAGGCCGGCTGTTAAATAGGAAAATGGCAGAATCAGGTGAGTGTTCCCATGTGTGGTGGGAAGGGTTTGGTCGAGAAAATGACGGTTATAATGCTTGATTGTGTTGGAAGGGGAAAGAGAAGAACGCCGGCAAAATATTTATTGTCGCTTCTTTTATATCGATCGAGGACGGTGGCTTTCTGCTACGTAGCTGTGTTTGCACGAACATTGATATGGTCTGATGTCTCTTTCTGTAACGCAGCTGTGTTACGCATGAAAAATCTATGTGGTTTGACGTCTCTTTGATGTCTCTTTCTGTAGCGCAGCTGTGTCACGCATGAAAAATCGATGTAGTATGACGTCTCCTTTCCGTAGTTGTGTTCGCATGAAATCTCGGTCCCCGACTTGTGTTATCGGGGCGGGTTATTGCACGTGTTGTGTAACTCTGACCTGTCTTTTCGATCTGTTGACTTTTTGTCAACATGTATTAAATCTGCAAGTGAATTTTCGTATCTGCCCATCAGACAATAAGTTGCTCCACGAATTTTAATGTAAATGCATCATTTGGTTTAAGTTTTAATGATATATCCAAATCTACAAGTGACTTTATATACTTTTTCATCATACGATAAGTTTCTCCGCGATTTGCTAATGCATTTGCATTATTTGGTTGAATTTCTAATGATTTGTTTATATCAGAGAGTGATTGTTCGTACCTACCCATCATGCGGTGAGTGTCTCCGCGATTCATTAATATAACCGCATTATTTGGTTCAATTTTCAACGCTTTATTTAGATCTGCTAGTGACTTAATAAGCTTTTCCACGATATTTTAATGAAAATACATCATTTGGTTCAATATCTAATGATTTATTTAAATCTGCAAGCGATTCTTTATGTCTATCCATCATAAGATAACTAGCTCCGCGATTTTTTAATGCAATCGTATTATTTGGCTCAATTTCTAATGATTTAATTAAGTCTGTAAGTGACTCTATATATTTACCCATTATACGGTAATTTTCGCCGCTTTTTCTTAATTCTGATGCATTATTTGACTCAATTTGTGGTACATTATTATCGGTGATATTTCGTGAAGGCAGCGTTTTAGATAAATTAGTACGAGGAAGCAAAACATTCAAACCAATAGCCTTATTTGGAGCCATAACATTTAACATAATATCAATACACAAAGTTGGATCAAGGACTTTCTTATAAGGTCAAACCTTTTCAAAAATAATTACACTAGAGATTTGGAAATAACGAATTAAAGGAAGACAATTCTGAAGTGAACTTTTTAAAACTAAAAATGTTCATCGGACCATTGATCAAGATTAGGAGGTAAAGAAGGATTTTGAGAGATGCCCCAATTAATAGTATAATCCCAAAATTTTCCTTAATCCATTTGTAAATTATCAAATTTTAAAATAAAGAATAAAATATTTTCTGGAAGAATAAGAAATTTGTCTGAATTAAAAATATTATTTGGATGTTTGGCAAAAATATTTGCACAAAATTGTTGTAAATCCTTTAAACTATCATCCTTAAAACTAGCTTGATAAACACGGGAAAAGTTAAGACGTAGCCAGGAGGCATTATTTCGATTAAAAATAATTGGACATGCTTAATCACTCTTCAAGACCAAACTCATTTGAAGCAATTAAAAGTTCAAATACGACTGAAGAATTAACATCTTCTAAAGAAATAGTGCCATTATAAATATAGCTACAGTATTTATATTATAATATAAGATTATTAAATCTTTAAAACTTAATTTAAAAATCATATCATATTTACACTTACTTGATTATAATTTCGAATACTTCTGTAGAAATATTAGCTTGCTTTATTATTTTTACATTATCATCATTATAAGTAATCGCACTTAATTTGTCTTTAAAATATGAACATCGTGAATTTAGGACAATAGAATGTACTCTAAATGTTTGAATATTTGGAGCTTGGCCAACTTCAATAATAACATTGTATTCGTCACAATTTTTAAGAAGTTCATTTAAATTGTTTGAAAGTTTCTCGAAAAATTCGGCCATAATTATGGTAAATTATTAATCAAATTTAGTAACAATTATAAGTAGAATACTAGTTTGTCCTTCAAAAATAGTATCCAATTTTACATCAAATTAGTATAAAGAATACAGCATTTAATTTTGTACAAATAACAATTATATGTTAGTAACAAGACTATGTTTAATTTTGTATGTACGTATATAAATCTAAACTGTGATACCTAACTTTAAAAATCTTATAATCTAATTTGAATAATTTTAATACCATTGATTTATCTTAATAAAATTAATCAAATAGTATTAAAATTCTTCAAATTGAATTAATAAATTTTAAAGTATAATAGTTTAATCAAATTTATATGCATACAATTTTAAATGCCAATGTCCTTTTGTACTAAATTGGTTGCAAAATTGATGTTCTACAAATTGGATAACGTTAAATGTTACCTGAATATCATTTGAAGAATACGAGAAGACCCCACTAAAATGCGCCCATGGGATAAGCTTCTAACAGCACATATTTAGAAAATAAGAAGAAATGCATTTATGAGGTTAATAATACTTTTTGGTCAGAATTTGAGAACGTATTTAGATAGATAACACCTTTAATGAGGTTGCATTTAAAGAGGCCTTTCTGTTATTGGATATGCTAATTATTGTATAGCATAATAAATTTAGATTATTATTAATAATTATTTTGGTTCGAAGCAAAAGTCGTCATAATATGACCAATTTCTTTGTACCGAACCGAAAATTCAAGTGATTGTTATGTACAGCTATCATATAAATAAGCAATAAATTAGTGTGCAGTATATCGAGTTTATTGTAAAGAAAGTCGTTATAAAATTAACTATATTTT